GTATTTAATTTAGTCATGTTAGTTATGACAGTTTAGTTATGATGTAAATGCAATAAAAATTAAACCAAGCTTTAGATTAGAATAATTATCAAGTCGATCCATACATTGGTAATGTCTGATTGGGCCTCGTGCCACTTTATGTTCAACAAATTGGGCCCTGAGGTCAAAAAGGTTAAGAACCCCTGATCTAGGCAGTATATCAGGTGGTGCCCCTTGGGCAATTTTCTACATCTCACTGCCAATTTACACACATTCACATACCAAATTAAATAGTTGTCATTGATATTATTTTTATCTTTAGGTTGTCCAATTAAAATGCCATTCTTGGCCAGGTCTCTCTTGAAAAAGAGATTTTTAATCTCAATGAGATCTACCTGGTTAAATAAAGGTTAAATAAATAAAAAAATTAATAAAACATCAAGTCAGTATTTTATAAAGATAGAACATTGAAACTCAGACTTTAACCTTAACTTTATTTGAGATCATAGATGAAACTTCCATTATCCTTATTTTGTTTTCTATTTACACACTGAGCACCAGTAGTTAGTCTGATTGCATCATATGATACTTTTATCATGAAACATCCTCTGCACCACATAACACCTCATGTAGGAACAAAGCAGCTGAGAAACAAACCAAACAAGTTAACTTCATAAACTTGATTAATCATTGATTATTCTACAGACTAAATCAACTATAATCTGAAATAAATTTGTGAATTTTCTTTTTTGAAGCATTTGCCCATCATGTCTATGCCTTGTTCAGCCCTGAGTGACAATGTGCCAATTTTAAATTACTCAAAACCTGAAGTCTTGTTTTACGTCAACACTAAGCAGGTAAAATCAGCACATTTTMCAAAACGTGTCCTGCTCCTAAACTTAAATAACAAGACGAATTAACTTTTGTGTGAAAACAGCAGGATTGTTGAATACTGAACAATGTTGCAGGACTTTAAAAGTAGTCAGAAGCCAAAAGCAGATTTTCAAAAAGAGCAACACTTTTGAGTGTATTTAAGAGATCTTAATGTATTTTTGGGGGATTTTTTGGGTAAATGGATAAATATTTAGTAAATTACAAAGGTTACAAAACCAGAGTGCTCATCTCCAGAATGAGCTGAATGGTTTGGTAGAAAAACAGCCAAATTAGCCTGCAGGGAAAATACCCAAGATTTGACTTTCTTTTCACTATATTACAATATCACAGTTAAACATCAAAACTTTAGTTGAACTCGGTGAACAGAAAGAAACATTTGGTCTGTTTTCTAAACGTATACAACTGAGAATGTTTTTGTGCCAAACACAAAAAATCTTCTTTAGTAAAAAATAAAAAATAAAACATCTTAAAGTTATTACAAAATGAATGTACAACTGAWGTTTGTTCCTGTGTTTCCAACAGAAAACACAAAGACAGAGAGTCGTGGAGGGAGGCCAGCAGCTGCCCACTCTGATTCTGACTCCCTCTGCTCCTCACCCACTTCCACCATCTGACACCACATTCATGTTATGCTGCCAMTGGCTGACAAACAAGAAAACAACAAGAAGAGAAAGGATTTTCTGCCTCACTTACATTCAAACTTAACTATTTTAAAGAGCTTTAGAAAATAAAAAATAAACAACTTCCAATGGTTTCCCTAAATCTAACAATAAGCACAAATATTCTGGTAAAAATAAATTTATATTGCTCTTTTCTATTTTTGTTGTTGAAACACAGAAAGAGCTCTGAATTCTGCACTGATGTTTGTTTTGAGGAAGTAAACACTTTAAAAAAAGAAGGTGGTAATTACACTTCTTCCTTGGCAGATTTATAACGATGTAAAAACAGTGTTATGTAGACAAACAGCCTGGGAGCAAAGTGTTGGAATTTGGGTGARTCATAGACTCTTTCATAAAACRGCTCTACTAAATGAGCTCACAGACCAATCCGACTTTATGCTCCTTCAGTCTGTCCATAAATCACAGACGGGGTCGGYCGGGTCCAGTACAGACATGAGCTTTCAGAACCAAAAGAAGAGTGGAGCAGAACTCAGCTGCACTGATGTAAAGAGAAACGTGTTAAATGTGTGACGAATGTCATCTTCATTTCAGTTTCAAAACAAGATGAAATAAGTCAGTTTAGAGATTCTTTTTGTGGTTAACTCAATCTTTTTAACTCTTTAAATAAATACAGAGTTGCTTTGCCTCATCAGTGAAATTTCTGCAGTAATAATTAGGCTAAATTTTGCAGGACAATAAATTGTTAAGAAATTATTGCGCTAAATGATAATATTGCTTGGAGACCATATCAAATTAATATAATGATTCCCTCACACCTGCTTGCGAACCTTACGGACTACGGATGCAAACAATTAATTGACTTAAGATTAATTGTCAAATAATGATTTATTATATTAAAATTTCTTCCATTTGATTAATTGAAAACACCGGTTTAAATCTTATTCCAGTGCAGTTTTGCCTTCATGCAGTAGAGGGCGACGCTGCTCTCAGCCTGGCCTTACTCTACTCCGGCCCTAAGTTGAGCTGAGCCGAGAGCCGCCTGTAGCTGCCCAATCCGTCCCAGTAGCACGATCCGTACTGTCAGCTCATTTGTGCATGCTAAATTTAAGGAAAAAAAGTCAAACTATTTATTTCTATACTTAATTATAAATGTGTGTTACATTATATTCTGAAAACAGTTTAAATATTGTATACATTTTGATTAATAAGATATAGATTTACGATGCGTACATATTTATTTATAATAACTTGCTAACTATTTTCTTGGCAATCACGTTATAACTCATCTTATATTCATTTTATTTTTCCCTGAAATAAAAATCCACAGCTGTTGCAAACGTTGCCTTTTCTATGAAACATAGCAGGTGATGAAAGACTGAAATCA